TTGGAAACTCTTATTTCTATGGCAGCAGAGGCTGGCACAAAATTATTGGAAAGCTACTTGGCAAAATGTTTAAGAAAATCTTTAAAAACCCTCTTTCAGCCAGTTATGTGCCACACAGAATTCTCTTCTAAGGAAACAATCTAGAAGGGAAAGAAAATGCTCAGATTTCCCCACAGCTTCATTTGCCAAATTGAAATGTTGGAAACAACCTTGAAGGAAAATATAGAGGAGACTGCCAAGTCCAGGAAGGAACATCACCTCAGCATGGTGTATCAAGGACGGCGCAGCATCAGGGGACCACGGAGCTACATGGGAAAAGGCTTATAACACAACACAAAAGGGAAAAGCAGGATGTGAAAGTATCTACTAGTATTAAAGGATCTAAAAAAGGATGCCAAGGCCCAGAAGGAAACCGGAAAGTGAAAACAGCTGGTAGAAACTATTCTGGTAGTGAGACTGTGGTGATTCTTCCTCTAACACCCTATTTATTCTGTTTTTAAATTATCAGGGGGAAGAGAGAAGTATGAGCGTTGCTATGAGATACTAAACATTTATCATAAACACAACACTTACTGCCCTAAATCTGACTGTTCAATCAAGCACAGAACAGATTTAACGCAATACCCAAGTTAATCAAAGCCTTTGAAATGTAATAATATGAATCTGCATGGAGCCTGACAAGTGAAAGCCATCAAGCAGAATAACTTCCACCTTTCATTATATTAGGGGGTTGGGAAAGGAAGGAGTCCTGTATTACATGATGTACTGTGATGGGGATGCTGCCTTGGGGTCAAGGAGTGGCCCTTTGGAGTATATGCCCTGACCGAAGGCAGGAGTCTATTCTAGGCCAGCTACTTCTTCCATGCAATGAGCTGTCTGGTTGCCCACAGAAGCCAGAAATCCAGATTTATTGTGCAATCTCCACATTTTTCAACAGTGGCAACTAATTCTAGTTTTAAAAAAATATACTGTGGGGGCGCCTGGGTGGCGCAGTCGGTTAAGCGTCCGACTTCAGCCAGGTCACGATCTCGCGGTCCGTGAGTTCGAGCCCCGCGTCAGGCGCTGGGCTGATGGCTCAGAGCCTGGAGCCTGTTTCCGATTCTGTGTCTCCCTCTCTCTCTGCCCCTCCCCCGTTCATGCTCTGTCTCTCTCTGTCCCAAAAATAAATAAAAACGTTGAAAAAAAAAATTAAAAAAAAATATATACTGTGAAGAAAAACAAGAGCTCTGTAGGTTGCATGAGGCCTGCTGGCTGCCAAAGAATATTTTAAACTAGGGGACGTGTTGACCTTTGGAGTCAAGTGGCCATCAAGAAGATTCCATCTGAGGAAGTGGGAGCGTATATAAGATGCGGAAGAGTGAGAGGAACTCAGACTGACTTCCATGCCATCCACGAAGACTGCTGACACGTGCAGCTCAGTCCCACTCCTCCTCTCCTGCCTTACAACAACTCTGAGGTGGTATTTTATTCCATTTTACAGATGGGTCAGTTGAAGCTCTGAGCACAGTTCTTACATAATGAGAACAATCAACTCCTTTCTTTGTCTTCCTCAGGTCAGCAGCTCAGACTATCATACTATCATACAGTAGTACAGACACACATACTATCCATGACAAAGCAACTTTCCAGGCACTTCCTCAGGCCCATTTTGGAAGCACAGGTTCCTGGTGACTCTGGGACTGGGTGTGATTCACATTCTGCCCCTACCATGCTGTGCTGTAGACACCAATCTTGCCCACTGCCTACCTCACCGCCAGCTTGTGGCGTCAGATGAGCTAACAGGCCTAGGCTGACAACGCAGAAGCAGCTACGTTACCTGGCCACAAAGCTGGCAGTCTTGTCAACGATATTCCTGACCTCTGGAGGAGGATAAATGATTCCCACCACTGGCTTGGAGGGAGTAGAATCCTCCTTTGAAGAAGCTTCTTCTTCTGTGGGCTGTGAAAACAAGAAAAGGAAAATAATGTCTTAAAGTTCCTCATTTGGGACTGGATCCCCACTGTCAAACTCCTCTAAGATATTATTGAGAATGTAGACTCTCTTCCGTGGACATTCTTCTAGTTAGGACCCTCTGTTCCAGAAAAGTGGTTATCTTAACTGCACTATACTTGAGTGGGACTCTCCTGGGGAAACCAGTGAAAAAAGCAGCCTCCTTGGCTCCCTCACAGGCAAGTGGTCTCAGTGACACTGGGAATCTACATTTTTACCAAGTGCCCCGGTGATTAAGATGGGGGATGGGGGTGAGAATCTGACCACATTCTAAGAAACCATCTCCCAGAATTCAGAAGGCCATGTCTGCACCTAGGGATGTGCCTGGCATGGAATATTTAATGATTGTTTGCTGAATAAAGAAACAGGAAACTCTTTGCTGACAACTCCTTATGCCCCTTTCCTCTGCATCTATTCCAGTCTTAACCACCACTCAATGCACAAATGTTCTGTGAAACCCCACTGGAATACCCAACATCAACTGTCCCATAAACTCCAATATTCTTTCTTTACTAGCTTCTTCTCCTTAGTAAACAAAGGGTCCATCTCTCGTCTTAAAAAAAAATAGCAGCACCCCTGCCCTCACATTCTTTTCTGCTGTTGTCTTCTCCCCCTCTTCCTCTGGTAAATATCCTGAGTTCTCTGTCTTGCCATTCCTACCTCCTCACCTCCCATCCATTTCAAGTGCTCTTGCCAAAGTAAAAAATGCCAAATACAGCAGCCATCTGATCATGTGACCAGTGACCCTGCCTTCACAAAACTCTCTACTCCTCAACTCTTAGGTCCCATTCTCACCTGTCTTACCTTCTTGCTCACCATTCCATCCAAGTTTCCTTCCTAGCTCCTGTTTCATCTTCTGCCCTAGGGCTCCCCCAAATTCTATTCTCCAAGGTATTCACACTGTACTCAGGCACTCACAACCATGTCCTCTACTTCCCCTACCACCTCTAGGTTGAACAATCCAGCCCAAACTGATGTCCCAGATCACTCTTATGTGCCAGAGAACTCTAGATCCAGCTGACTCCCGGGCACTTTCTTCTCTAACCACTTTCCTTATGAATGGTCAACCATGCACTCAGTCATTCAGGCCAGAAACATGGGCCTCCTCTCCCTTCCTCAGCCTCCACATTCGATGATAACATTTACCAAGAACGTAGTGGGTTCCATATACTTTTCTAAAAACTTTAAATAGATTAACTCTTATAAGAGCCTTATGACGTGAATATTCCATTTACAGATGACAAAATTGAGGAATGTAACGCTTAACTGGACCAAAGAGCAGAACCAGGATTCCAACACATCACTTTAGCTGCAGAGTCTGCACCACCAGCCATTTTGTGACTTGAGCTTGCCCATCCCGTCTGTCTCACCCCCCTGCCACAATCTAAGCTAGGCCCTCAGCATCTTTTGAATAACTGTGCTCCTAGCATTTCTCATCACAACCTGTCTACCTGAATTTCTGAAACACAAACATGTCATTATCCAGCTTAAAACTCTTCCCTTTCTCCCCACTGTGTACTAGAAAAAGTTCAAATCCCCCCCAAATGCATCTTTTGCCACCCCTTTCCAACCCTACGCTTCAACCACACTTTTTAATTTACTCTTGATCTGAGACACCACCTGATGCCTACCCTGGTGTTTTTGCAACTACCTGGTATTACCTTGTTTACTTTTCCCCAAATGACTGGGAAAATACCAGGGATACTGACATACTTAAATATTTGTGCTAAGGGTATGGACCTCTTCTTTCACGTACTCTGCTGTATACTGAACCTAAAGCAGTAATCAGCACACCTGTATGTGCTCAATAAAGGTTTGCTGAATGAATAAAGGATGCTATTTCCCCTTTCCAATCACCTATCTGACAAACCAATTCATCTTTCTAAAAACAATTTACTTAGCATTCATGTGGGCTTCACCTACAGGGCATATCACACCACACTGCAATGATTTACACACCTCTTTCCCTCTCGGTTGATTTAAGAGCTGGCTGGTATCAATTACGGTGATTAAAGCAATAAACATTTGTTGAGAATTCACTTACATCTGTCTCCCCACTAGAACCGTGAACTTCATAAACTAGCTGTGCTCCATTCATTCTGGTTCAGTCGGAGCCTCACACGGTGGTTGGCTTAAGGGTACGCAAAGAGTAGATACTGAGAACTACCACAAATGTACCCTACAGGCTGGGAAGTTAGGGATTACTGGGCAAAAGCAAGAGGGCAGGGTGAGGAGAGGCAGTACCACAGAAAACCTGCAAGTGAGCTGGATCGGTGTTTCTCAACCTTTAACCAATCACCTTGAGATCTTGCTAAAATGCATTAGTATTTAGTTCTGGCATTTCTAATGAACTCCCAGGTGATGCTGATGCTGCTGGTCCGCGAACCACACTTCGAAAGACCGCTAGTTTCGCTACCCGAAGGCAGCGTAGGGCGGGAAGCGCGCTGCCTCCTGGGACTTGCAGTCCCTCCAAGCCCTCGTAAGCGGCCGCTTCTTCCTCTACACGAGTGAAGAGCGCCCGCGCCGGAGAGGAGGGCCCAGGCCGAGGCTTAGGCTGCCGATTAAGGTGCGGGGGTCGCGGTACCTGTTTGGGCTCGGTGGCCGCCGGCGGCGGCGGGGGCACCGCCTGCACGGGTCCGGCCGGCATGACTGCGACGCTCAGGGCTGCCAGTCCGCCTTGTTGAAGGTGAGCGGTGCTGCGTCAAAGCAGCTCCCCGCACGGACGATACGACAAGCTCGCAAGATGGCGGCGGCCGAGAAAAACGTCGCCGGGGAGGAGAGGCTGACGCACTTCCGGGACCGCCCCTTCTTCGTGATGCAACTTCCTGCCCTTTTCCTAGGGCTGCGGGCGCGAGACGCCGTTGCCATGGCAGCGGTCGGGGCACCAGGCTAGGATTTGTAGGCGATCACGGGAGCAGCAGGCGCGCAGGGGACAGTTCATGAGCCGACCAGACACTGGGGCTGAGGCTGCAACGCAGGAGACTGGGGAGACGTCCTATATCACCCTCCGGACACTCTCCGCCCGCACCTCACGACCTTGGCTCCCCTCTCCTTTAGTCCTAAGGTGGGTTCCTCGCTCCCTCACATTGGCCTGTCCCTTTGGAGAGCCCCTTCCCCTCGAGGCTGCCTTCTGAAAACCCCGCCTTCCTTCTCCCTTAAACTCCTCTTTTGCTTCAGGTCCACCTCCTCTATACCCCCTTCCCAAGTCCCAAGCCCTAATTCCCACTGGTCCCTTTTCCCGTGGGACTGCCTTTCTTAGGTTCCACCCTCTACCTCCCATAGTCCCGCCCTCAAGCCCCACAGACCATCTCAAATCAATACCTTTTCAGGTGCGTTCCTGCTGACCCTAGCTTCCCCGAGGCTCACCTCGAATCCCGCCTATTCCACTTCCTCTCCTGAGATACTGTCTTTGTCCCGTCACCCCTCCCTCCCAGCTCCTGAATCCGGGCCGGCTTTTGCCCTGTCTGGATAGTTTAACAGTTTCTTCACCTGTGAAATGGAGCCCGGGTAGGAAGAGATGCCCTCCCAAGTGTCTTACCCCAGCCCTCTTTCTCACACGCACACACTCCATAGCTGGTTTATGTCATTGTTGTTATTATTAATGTAGAACGATGATAGCTAGGATTTATTGACCCTGTGCCAAACACTACATGCTTTACATCACTTATTTCTTATAGCAACTTATTTACAGATGAGAACAGTGAAGTTTTGAGTTGGTGGAGTGGAAATCCAAACCCATTCTTGTTCCTTTACTAGTGCAGCTACTTATTCCTTTGTCTTCATTCAGGTCCTTTATTATCCCCAGGGATCCAGGCAATTAGCAATCCTGAGTCAGAGGCTGACAACTCGTTTTAGAATTTCCAAAGTGTTTGATGACCTTGAATCTCAGCAGGGGCACTGGCCAGGAGGTAGGCAAGATCTTTTTTTTTTTTTTTTTA